GATTAAGGAACAACACAATCATCAACATTAACTGAAATAGATAATTAGATAATTTTAGCTTATACGTCCATTATACATAAAACGTGCACGCGAAAACGTATTCTGCACTTGCACACACTCATATGCGCAGTCGTAAAAGGTCTTACGCGCACGCGTAAACGCCTATGTGCATGTGTCAACGCGGCAAAACAAAATTTGTTCAAGGCAAACCAGAAAAGTGAGACCAGAATTCTTACCTTTTCTTTTAGTTCCGAATTTAATTAGAAATCATCAAACGTTAAATTTTACTTATCTACAACATATCCATAGACTCTCGATCATCATCATTTTTGAATTTTATGATTTATATGGGGATTTTTGGCCCCATAATTGAGCTGCCGGTTTATAGCAGGAAGGTTCATTTATGTATTTCAAACATATAAACACTCGACAGAAGGATCTTTAAAGTATTTTCTTTTAAACATAATGTAAAAATTACAAGCATAGCATTTACAGCTCAAAGTGGTTTACACAGAGTTATAGCATGGCACTTCCATTCACTACAGTTGTTCTTTTATTAGCTGTTCACCAATGGCAGCGCAGTGTAAATTAAAACTTATTGGGGGGAGGAGGAAAATTAATAGCTCCCTCCCATTTTGTTCTAACAGGGTTCGTACAATCCTTAAAAGTCCTTAACTTTGGACAAAATCAGGAGAAGATCCTTAATTTTAATTATCTGAAATTTCTGTCTAATGTTACGTCTAATGTGACTAATGTTACGATTGCCATTTTGAGTGTGAATTAGCATTTTGGAGGTTATAATTTGTTTTTATTTCTAATATAAATGATGTAATACTCGAGGTTCTAAGCAAGAAGTGAAACATAAGCATAGTGAAATTAATTTTTTCTGATAAAGAACTCTTAAACAATTTTTCGCTTTTGGGGATGTGAATTCTTATATTAAGCGGTTCTAAATTTCGCAACTTATCAATATTTTGGTGATTTTAAGATCAGTTGCTGTAGAAAATTTTTAATTCTGAGATCTGAGAATTTTTTGACAATTTTTTTTTAAACATCGTAATATTGATAAATTTCATTAAATATTGGCAATATATTGAAATTATATTTAAAAAATAACATTAAAATAAAACATTTTTATTCTTTGCTGTCATATTATAAAATTTCATTTTGGCAACTTATTACGCAATATTTTGAATCTGAAAATAAACAAGGTATAATGCTATAAAGCACAATTTACAAAACAGCTCTTAGCAAAAGCAAAATTAGTTATGTAATTAATTAAAAATGTCTTCTTTTTAATTTTTTCATAGTAAGAGTTTTTCCCATGTAATTGTTTCAGAGTATTTAGAATTCTTAGAATATGCATCAGTTTTCTCTATAAAATTCATTTTGCACTTTTACCCTCCCCCTTTTTTTCCAAATTATTTCTGACCTTTTGCTGTTACAGAATTCTTTAGGATTTTAGACATTGCAGCTTCGAAAGTTTAGAAGGATTTGAAGGCAAGATTTATAGAGCCACGATCCTAGAAGATTTGAGAAATATGTGACAAAATGAAAATTGTCTCCATGGTATCAACACAAAATGGATGTATTTTACAGAAAGTTTGCAATGAGTTTCTTACGTTATGGAGAACATCTGGAAGAACAATGAAAACATGATACAGTACAAAGTCCGTAATCCGGACATACATTATCCGGAATGATCTATAATCTGGACCTCAAAGCCACAAACTTTTTTTTGTATGCTTTATGCATGTGCGTTTAGCACAAAAAAACAAAGCAACTTAAACAACTTACATTGAAAGAAATGTGTTTAATAAACAAATAAATATTAAGCTTTTTTTTTTTTTTTTTTTTTTTTTTTTTTTTTTTTTTTTTTTGCGATGCGTTTAGCACAAAAAACGAAGCAAACGACTTGCATTGAAAAAAAATCTTTAATAAAGTAAACAAATAAATATTAAGCTTTTTTTTTTTTTTTTTTGGTAAATTTTGATACCCTTTAGACCATAATTGCTCTTTATTTCATAAATTACGGTTTAATATTTTTAATTGTATAATTTATGCATGCTATCTTACCAGATTTAAATTGATGCTCTGTAATCCAGAAAAACCCCTAATCCAAAATCGCCGAAGTCCTGACGAGTCCGGATTACGGACTTTTTACTGTATTTGAATGTTTTAGTTCTGATACTAGAATCTTAACATGTTTATCTTCCCTTTATTTTCTCTACTTTTCACTAGACACAAGCATGGAAAATATCAAAAATGCTTCTAATCTTATCACATGGGCAGGCATTATAGAAAAGGAGTTTTTTTATTTAAAAAAGAAATTGGAAACTTACAATTTAAAAGATTAATCTAACATGTCTTAATCCACCATACACATAGCTGCACTAGGCATTTTTCCACTTGATGCAATCTCTGTGAATCCTAAATTCTGTTGCCTAGGGCATTTTTCAATGCTTCTAATGCCAGCTCTAAATTCTGAAAGTTTTGCCATTTCTAGATTTTGTTGTTCGGTGTGTTACACAATTCTAAAACTTCTGCCACATTAGCTCTGTAACTGGCCTTTACCATATATATTTCATATTTTTTCTGAATATTCATATTACTAAAGTAAAATTAGCCGCTTTTTCTGTACATGCATTTTGTGTTTTTTAGAATAACAGAAATCCTTAATTAAATTCGAACATGCCTTTATGTTTTAAATATTTTTTTTAAATAAAAGCCTTATTTATAAGAGGCTTATTTAACCCTTTGTCTGATATTGTAGTTACTTTGAGTCATAGCGATAATATGCTTCACGTCTCTGTCTGTGTGTGTGTGTGTGTGGGGAGGACTATTTAACTTAATGACTCAGATCAAGTAAACCCTCATAGATACATTGTGGAGAAGTTGAGCACGCAGAAATTAGCAAGAACATTGGTTTGCATAATGAGACAAATCTCTAATTGTTAGAAAAGATGCTTAAAGAGAAGGAAATCGATATAAACTAGCCAAAATGTCTGAGAAGGCTTCAAATTAAAATGACAGATAAATATTTTGTTGAGTGTTGTTGTTACAAAATATAAATGTTTTGTAGCTTTTAATGTGTAATTATCCTAATATCGTTTAAGAATCAATGTTATAAATTACATATATTTTAAACCAAATTTTTTTTTAGATTTTGATTTTAATAGGGCTTTTTTAACAAATTGTTAAAAAATAAAATTTAAGAGTGGCCTTGTAAATCCATAATGACTAAGGTTATTAAACTACCTAATTTAATTATTGATAACTAACTGTTTACCCTTAAATATTATCTCTACATATTAAAGTGAGTTATTGCCTTTCATTAATACTCACTGTGGTCTCAAAATAAAAAACAAAAATTCAAGTAAAACTTATTCTTTGCATCTAGTGAGACTTAAAATAATACAAAACAACTCATCACCTCTGGTGCTTTAATGGCTTATTGAGACCTTAAAGTATATTAACTGGGTTACAACGTTTGGAACTCTACACAAAACATCAAGACACTAACTGCATCAAACAGAGCCTGACAATCTTGCCTCATCAGGCCTTTCAGGTTTGTTCGAATCAGCATGTCTCTCTCTTTACAATCAGCAGCGGTGACAACATTCAGTCTTTTGTTATAAATCATGCTGATTATGATCTTACTTCTTATTTTAACTTATACCATTTGACACAAAATCTACCTGCTATTTATGAAACCTCTAGACTGATTAAGTATGTGACAAAATGAGGCATAAAAAAAGTCAACATAAAGCTAACTGTTAGCAAAATGTAAATGTCACTTATCTTCTTTCAAATATGTCCAACTATTATAAGTGTAGAATATTTCATGTTACTTGATAAATTGCATAAAGTTTTTTTATTCTCAAACTTATTAATAATTATGTTGATTAATTCATGTTTAGTAATAATGCATACTACTTAAGGATTTATTTTATTTTTAGGGTGGTATTACAGAAGTGAAATTGAGGCATAGATAATATTTTTAATTGAATGTATTCAGTTCCCATTGGCTCATAAGTCCTTAATTTTTTTCATTAATGGTCTTTAAAAGTACTTAATTTCCGTGTGCAGAAATGTGTACGAACCCTGTCTATTATTGCATTTTAATATGTTTGCCATTTTATTCTCAGTTAACATCAAATTGACCTGCAAATTTGCAAAAAGATGTAAGAACTGAAATCAGATATATAGAGCAAAATTAGTTTTGAACCTTTTACAAGCTCTATGTATTGTAAATAAAAGTGTTCAGTGTTTCATGAGTACTCCGTATTCATGATGTCTCTTTTTGAAAGTGTATATTTGTGAGCATCTTCTGCGTTAAGCATGCAAAAGTAAAATAAAATGAAAAATTTTCTTGAATGTTGCTTTTTGCAGTTTGTGTATTGACTAATTTAGTAAGTAAAAAATAAACGTAACATTCAAATTAAATTCAATTAATGTCTTTTGGGTTAGGTATAAATATTATTTTTTCAAATGTGTTAATAATATAGCCTCTGTTATAAAAAATGTACTAAATTGTATCTGAAATTGTTTATGTATATATATTAAATTCTATCTCCATCTTTTGCATTATTTTTTTAGCAAAATGTAGCTCTTGTTACATCTTAAGTGGTCCAAGTGGCCTAAAAGTTTTAATGTTGGATGTCTGTGGTCCAGAGCTGTATCTGTTCTGGAAAATTTATTGCATCACTTTACTTAAAAAGTACTTAATTATGTTTTGTATGCCCAGTAACATTTTTAAAATTAGAGCAGTTAAGTGCTGAATTTAAATTTGATTTTGTCATGTCAAAACATGACCCTATTCATGATGTCTCTTTTTGAAAGTGTATATTTGTGAGCACCTTCTTCTACATTTTGCATTGAGAAGTATTTTTAAAATTCTGGCAAGTAAATGCTTTTTTCTTTCCTTTCTCATGTACATAAACTGATGGTAATCAAACAGTTAATTTTTATTTGTTTTTGCTTTTTTATGAATTTTATAGATGTTGATGTGAATGAGAATGAAGTAAAAGATCAGCAAAAATCTCCAACCCAGCAGAAATCCTCAAATCAGCAGAAATCTCCAAACAAAAATCGTTCAAAGAAAAAATCAAGTGCAGGTCCTAAAAGCTCTAAAAGCGGAGTAAGTTTTATGTTACTAGACTTGCTTTCCTTATTTCTTTACTTATTTTTTAATTTTATTTCAATTTAGAGAAGATTTACCATGATAAATGCATAATTGCAATGTTTAAATATTTAGTGTTATTGTTCCTATTGTTAAGTGTTTTTAATCTGGTATATTTGTTAGACTAGATTAATTAGTGGCTGAATGCACTAATTTCATGAATTTTCTACTTCGTGGAGGATTTTGAATCCATCAAAAGCATGACTTTTGTGGTCATGTTGAATTTACTGACAGTTGTTTAACTTCTGGAAAGCAGTAGTTTTTTTTTTTTTTTTTTTTTTTTTTTTTTTTTTTTTTTTAATGAATAATTTATCTAGACCTGTGGTTAAAAAAAATGAAGTAGGTAGGTAAGATCATCTTCCAGATTAGAACAATTTTGGTCATGTTATATTTTGCAATGAAAAAGTTCTAGTTTTGTTTAAATATGAAAGTAGAAATTTACATTTAAGAACTTATATGCTTAGATCAAATTTTATATGGTCATCCAAAAATCTAATGAATTATACCTTTTTTTTTTTAATATTGGCCCTATGGGGGCTAAAGTTTAATTTTTTCATGTGATGATATGTAATAAATTTTTTAGTTTTTGGTAAAAAGTGTCATCATTAAAATTTTCATAATCTAAAAGCCTGCTGTATTTGCTTCATATCTTAAACTGGAATGATAGGTTTATGACCAGCTACTCGTAAAATATTTAAATGAAGCCTTTTTTAAACATCCTGTATGTGTATTTATTTTGAAACTTATCTTACATTTGTCTTAATTTCAAATAATGAATTAAATGATAAATCTGAACTGTTGCTGAATATAAAGAAACACATATTAAGGGCTCCAGCTCTGCTTTAGTTAGCATAGATTTTGAATAAAACTATTGCTTTCATGGGCAATTAGACACAATTCCTTTTTCTTCAGGAGCAAAAAATTTTTTTCAAACTAAGGTTGCCTTTGGGGATAGGTTTATTTTAAATTTTATTTTGTGTTGTTCTTCCATTTCAAAGATGCAAATTTTTGTTGTTTGAAAATTCTTAAAAATATAAATTTCATATCAAAATCACATGGCAGACAGTGTAAATACAGAAACTCTAGGTTGAGGGATAAAGTCCTTGATTGCAGAATCTATTTTAAAATGTGTGATTTATAAAAGTCGTGAGTTTTATTAATACATTGTAAGCTTACGATCTTTTTAAGGGGAATATTAATTTTCTTTTGAGAAAAAATAAAATGGTGTTTGGCAACAATAGTTTTTAAAAAAATTGTGTGAGTTTTTCAAAGAAGTTTTTTTAAAGTTTTAGAAGTTTATGCACCTCAGAATAAGAGGTTAAATTTATCAAGACAAAAGTTTAAAGACTCCTATTCTACAGAATTTCCATACATTAAAATATCTAAAGCTTCTGTAAATCATGCACTGGCAATGAAGACTTCAGTTGCGCATAGTCTAAAAGGTGATGATTATAAATGGCATGTATTTTCTTAAAGGTAAATGCAATTTAGTGCCATATAATCAAGAGAAATATAAAATTTCTTGGTGAAAGACTTGAAACTGATGTTAAGAGCCAAATACTATTTAATTTGTTTTTTTATTAAACACAACTTTCCAATTTCAGTTTGTAACAATTCCAAGCAGTTTTTAACTGCAGTGTTTCTGTATTCTGATATAGCGTTAAAAATACCTTATTGAAATGCAATCTGTAAAAGAATTTCTATTATTAAAAAAAAGTAAAAAAAAAAAAAAAAAAAAGTATGGAAGCTCTTGAAGGCATTCTCACTAAAAAAGGAAAACATAGACAAATGAAGAATTGTGCTATAGAAAAAGTTTATCTAATTCAGAACTTAAACTTTCTATAAATCTTTACGTTCTTAATTTTAAAATGAATTATAAGTATCTTTTTTGATGATTATACAAGGTGTGCCCATAAGGTAATCGGACAGTTTCATATAAATAAGAAAAAGATTACTAACCTTCAAATAACTTTCCAAATAATTGTCAGAGAAGTTTTAAACATTTCTTCAGGTCATCAAAACACAGCTTACAGGCACATCGGAACTAACTGTTCACAAAATGCATATAGCATTTGAAGTTGAAAGGGTGCTTTGGTTCATCTCCATCACTTTTACTTCCACCAATAAAGCAGTTGTGTCACTCATACACTTGTGCTCTTGATAATGATGCATCACCATATACTGCTCGAATTGTCTCCAACATTTTGGTAGCACATTTATCTAATTTGTAACAAAATTTAATGTTATGACATTATTTCACCTCAAAGCAAAATTTTTTGTACAATTTCTCCTCCATAAATGAAGGTATTTAACCTGGCTTTAACAAGAGTCGAGATATCACTCTTTCTAAACTGTATATATATATTTCTTGTCGTTATCAGGAATTAATTTTTTTTCCTTTGTAGAAATCAGAATCCAAAAACTTCAGAGATATATGTGGTTTATGGATTCTAATTTCGCCTGCAATTATTTGTGATTTCAAGTTATTTGCTTTAATAATGTAGTATTACATTTAGGAATAAAGTGAGTAATAAAATGAAAATTTTTTTAAATATGCATATAGTTTACTAAAAGTATTTTTAATTTTTCAGTTTTTATACTTATGTATTTTAACTGTTAATTAAAAAAAATAGGCCTTGCAGACACACAGTCATAAAAATGCCGTTTGCATGTTGACTATTGACAAATTTTGCTGTAGATTGGAGTCTGCATACATTCCCATGTAATATCTGTATCTTGGTTTTCAGGAAGGAATTTATAACATATATAAATATTGATTAGTAAAATCCTCACTAAAGCATTTATATTTTATAGTTTCTTTGCTTAGCTGCATGAAATGGCATTTTATGTATGTCTTTTTTTTTTTTTTTTTTTTTGTGTGTGTGTGTGTGTGTGTGTGATGATGTAGAGCGAGTAGCTCGCGGGGACATTTTTGATAGATCACAGGAAGCGCACATGACAACTGCTTATTTCTCTTGCACAACTGCTGTTGCCAGCCTTATCTCATGGTTAATTGTATACAATGTGAGGTTGTGAACGTTATGTTTTTCATGTGTATATGAGACATTTGCTAATTTGCATAGTTTGATTTAAGCATTGGTACTAAACCAGGTCTGTTCTAATGATGGCGTGTTCAAGCAAAAACTTAAGACTTCCATTCAGAACGGGAAACCTAAAAACCTAAATTAAACCTTTAAAGCATAAGTATGTACATTTACTGTGCTATGCAAGTCTATCAGTTGGGAAGAATGGGAATGTCAAAAATCACTTCAAAATCATTCACACAGTGATTGAAAAAGATTTCCCACTGAAATTTGCTCTAAAAAAAGAAAATGTAAGGCAGCTCAAATCTAAACTTAATGCTCAACAATAAACTTTTTTAAAATCATTAAACAATAAAGGAGCAACTAAGGCGTCATTCTGAGTTTTAAATATTATTGCACAGAGTAAGAAACTATAGGAAGGCGGTGAAATAATCAAAACTGTATTTTTAGAAGCTGCAGATGTATTATTTGATAGTTTCAAGAATAAAATTGAGATAATGTCTGCTATCAAATCTGTACAGCTTTCTGCAAATACAGAAATGAGAAGGTTATGAGTTCTAATGTTATTCACAACTTAAAACTGACTTTGATCACTGGAGCTGTTTCTTCTGCAACTTGACGAATCGACTCGTATAGTTAACACAGCTCAGTTGGCCATTTTTGCAAAAATGGTTTTTGATAATTTTGAAATAAGAGAGGAACTGATAGAGGTTATACCATTAATAGGACACAATACAGGACAGGACATATTTTTATTCGCTAAAGATCTTATTAACTCTGAAAATATTCCTATAAAAAGTTGGTGGGCTTAGCAACAGATGGAGTTCTGTGTCACTGTGAGGAAAGTTTTTAAGTATGATGTAATGAAAACAGTCATAAAAATATTAAACAAAGTTAGAGCATCTACAAATGAGAAACGTTTGTTCAGAGCTCTGACTGATGAACTAGATTGCTAGTATGGTGATCAAGTGCTTCATATGGAAGTTTGTCGGTTGAGTGGAGGCAGAGTTTTACAGCGTTTCCAAGAGTTGCTCCTTGCCTTAGTAGAATTTTTGAAAGAACAAGGCAAATCCTTTCGTGAACTAGAAAATCCGGTCTGGCTACAGAATTTTGCTTTTCTTGCAGATATCGCCGAAATGCTAATAATTAACTTGTAGCTTGAAGGTAGGGATTGCGGGATATTGGCATTTGTCACTCTGCGAGACTAAACTGCACTGTGAGACCCCTCACCCCGCAGAACTAGGCACAGAGGTTCAACATCTGTACTCACACCTTGGAGAGAGGAAAAAATCTCTTTTGCAGCATCGGTCGTTGATTATAAACTTGTTACCTGCCAGTTGCTCAGGTTACCCGTCGCATAGGGCATACCCAGCATACCCAGGCTGTCAGCGTAGGCTACTAGAGTCCTCAGCTCTAAAACTTGCCAGATCCACGGGCAGGCCAGTAAGTGACCTTTCCAGGGACTCCAGGAATAAACTATGTTAGTAATTTGTATACCCCCATGGCCGAGACTGCCTAGCTTCAGATTCTAGCCAGTAGCTTCTCAGAGTTCTCTATATCGACCCAAGATAGGTAGGTATAAAGGTAGTGATAAAGATATTGGCAGAACAGTTTTTCTCCAAAAAGCTGAAACTGTGGGATAAAAATATCATCCAAGGTGAATGCAAACACATTGCTTGTTTAAGAAAACCCTTGAAAAGAAAGGGTCTTAAACACCTCTTTAAAACAGCAAACAATAGGTAGAAATTATTTCAGATTTTAGAAGTTTTACAAACACTTCCAAGATTTCGGAAGGATTTCAGTTGTTGTACAGTTTGTCAAATTGCCTTTTATAGAGATTAATGTTGAAATGCTATGGAACAAGCAATCATACTTTTAAACTCTGCCAACTGTGGTTCTCATATGCACATAATA